CCCTAACTATTCTATGATTCTATGAAGGGCAAGTTTCCTTCTTCCCCATTTCTTCTCTCTACCAACAGCTGGAGGGTTTTTAGTTTGAGAGTTGACTGGCAGAGTAAGAGGACGAAGAGGCAGAAGGGTTTATTTACAAACCAGTAATAAATCCCATGTTCACAGACAGAGACTGGTTTACTGGGAATGGATTCTGTTCACTGACTTAGGAGAGGGTATATTGGGATTTTCCTTTAGCTTTTAGACTGAGCTTTAGACAGCTTTTCTTCAGGCTAGAACCTTACAGATAGGAAAAGTTTGGAGGCATCTAGACTACCTCAAGCTACCTGCTTCTCCTCTGTTGCCACGCCAATTAATATGTTGCCTACATGGCTGCACTGTGCTTGGTTTTAGAAAGGACAAAGGCATTGTGTTGCAGCATGAGAATGATGGGCACAGCATCAGCTTTTAGTGTTTCACACCAGAAAATAAAAGGTTCCCTATTCTGGTCCCTAAATTTCTGTCTTTCTGTTTGTGTATTAAGAACCCCTGGGAGCACACAGGTCTCAGCTCTTTCTCTCACGCTTAGCCAATTAAAATAAGAAGCAATTAAGATGGCAAATCTCAACATATTTATAGAATGCTAAACAAAAAGCTTACCAAATGGTAAGCACAGGAGATGTGTTATGTGCTGGTCTGTTCCCTTCCTTGCAAGGAGCAGGCATGGCAATGGCAGTCCCTGGCTGGTAAAGCAGCACACTCGTGACAGCCTCTTCCACCCCTCCATACCTCAGGGTGGTCTTGACTAAACAGCCCCTGTGGATGGGGAGGGAAGACAACACACCAGGAATAGATTCAGAAGCATTGCAGACAACAGTCTGTGTCAGGGAGGGAGGAAGGGTTCATGAAATTATAAATGTGCAGAAAACAATGGGAGTCTGTGGTTTCCAGCAGTATTTTCTGCTGGCAACCAAAGAAGCCTGATTGTTTTGTTTTTAAAGAGATGAAAACCTAATGTAGAAACATAGTAGCTGCAAAGTTTTAAATAGATGGATAAAAGGCTTTTATTTCTGAACTGCTCTCGTCCCACTCAGAGAAAAAATGACTGAACTGTTGCCATTTGAGTTGGTTTAACGCTCACGTTACCCACTCATCGTTATCATCTTTGACATGGTCATCATCATCTTCATCATCACTGTTACGGTCATCATCATCATCACTTCTCAAGAAACGGACCTCTCTTGCACTAGCTGTGAAAGGACTAAAAGGGTGCAGAACAGCATGGCTGAAATGAAATCATTCACAACATTCCTTCTGCCTTCAAGGCGAAAAGTGAGGTGCTATTCGAAGAGGGCTAGGTCTCTGCTATCACCTCCAATGATGCAACCCACAATCTAACTGCACTGTCGCTCCTTATGGAGCACAGGGATTTTAATGAAACATCTAAGCATGACAAATCATTTTAAAGACATTTTAGATGGATAAAGCCCAACACATTTCCAAACATTAGTAGGTTGCTCCAATTTCAGTCTTTTCTAGTTGTAAGCATTTTTCCTAGCCAAAACTAGACCAACTCAAGCTTATAAGCAATCCCAGGACATTTTCAGGCACATCTTTCAAAAGCATACCATGCTTTTGAAAGCTCAGTCTTTAATGCCTCTTCCAGAGCGACATCTTCCAAGCTGTCTTGACATGTCCTCTAATGAGCAGCAGACTGGACACCAGTCAGCATCTAGGGTATTTCCACAGGCAAAGATTACAATGCACACAAAGCCAACACTGGAACTGCAAAGTGCTCATCTCCCATGGCAGCCTGAGAGTTTTCTGAATCCAAGACACTGCAAGCTGTCATCTGTGTTCCAGGGCGACCTGTGCATCATCTCATTTCTGTACAGACTGGAGGTGAATTTAGACAACAACCTGCATCATAGAAGAAAAAACTACCTTTTTTTATTCTTCAGTACCCAATCTTTCATATCCTCTAACCTAAGAAACATCATGCCAAGTTAGACCTCTATGAGCCAGTGGAGCATACAAGGCATTGCATTCAGAGCTACTCTCTGAGAAACATTTCAGATACCACAACTTAAATTATGGGTCATGTAGATGGATTAAGAACTACGAGATCCCGATTCCTCTTTCATTCCTTGTTAGGTGCCTTTCGCTTGGCTGCTGCTGTTTAGTTGTCTTTTTTGGTTCACCTCTGATTGTTTCAGTAAGTGGAAAGAAAAGCGGAAAGAAAAGCAGAACGAAGCTGGTGTGGTGCCGGCAGTTGGGTCTGGCTGACTCTTTCACACGGTGCATCCGGAGCTGCAGACTCCACCCTTTGTATGATTTATTTTAAAAGCCTGCTGTGTCCATTAATGGAAAATTGGACTCTGTTCAGGCTGTGATGGTGTCCATGGGCAGGAAAATGGAAAGTTTCAGATTAAAGCTGCAGGAGGCCAGGAAGCAAAATATCTGGTGAATTTAATTGATGGTGGCAGCACAATTATTACAGACAAATATTAAAGAAAGGGCAGTCTGTGACCCAAAGCAGATCCTCGATTAGAAAGATAAAGGAGAGTAGCATGAAAGTCTGCGAGGCCACAGGGCTGAGAAATGGAAATATTCCTCGCCAGCAGGAAGTTCAGACACTTTGTAAAATAGGTCTTTTGAATGTATACGGTAGGACATCTGTCACTGTGATGTTAAATTTGCTAACCATCCAAGCTATTCTCTCCTTAATTTCTTAAAGATCTCACACATACCTGGTGACACTCGGGCCTCCTCTCCTCACTTTTGTACTCATCACTAGGCTTGAGAAAGTGCTAGGAGTCTCAGGGACGTCATTCTGTGGTTTCATTAAGATAAGGAGCTGAGCAGAGAGAAGAAGTCGTGGTAGCAACCTTTACTGAAGACCTGATCAGACACTGCAGAAGCCCATCAGGGCACGGGGAAACCCATCTACAGCTGGATTGGCGCTCTCCACAGAGCAGAAGCCAGTAAATCAGTAAACAGACTTTTCAAAGAGCAACTGAGCTTAGATCCTAGCAATGGGATTCTTAAGGGGGAAAACAGATAAATAAAAACCTAGAAAAACAAACAGAATTGCTGCTTTTAAACCTACTGGTTGATTTAATAACATGTTCTCGTGACTTTTTTTTGCAATAGAGCAATAAGGTAAAAGTAATATTCATTTTTAGCATAACTGTAAGTATGGTTCTTCATATAAGACTACTATAGAACATAGGAGGAGAAGAAACCAGTATGATGACATGGAAACTTAATGGATTCTACACCAAAAAAAGCCCCCAAAAGTCCAAAACTTTTAAGAATGTTGAAATCCCATGGCATGGTCTTGCTTTGTTGTTTGTTTTTAAACCATTACATGGAAAATGATGATAGAATTCTATAGCAGGA